GTGACACAACATCTCGTGCTGGTAATTGCCCGGGTGGTACGCGATCGCGAGCGCGAGATCGCCCGTCCTCTCACCGCTCCGGTCGAGGTCTTGGACGTTGAACTCGCGAATCATAAACGCGCCGAACTCTCTCGTGCGCTTTCTAAACGTCTGTAAGACAGCATCTGCAGGAGAGGAAGCGCGCGGTTAGTGAAGCANGCGCGCCGCGAGGCATCGCGCCGCGAGGGGCGCGGGCGGCGCGCTCCCCCCCGGTAGTGGCGTCCTCGGCCTCAGCAACGCGAGTTGATGGCGCGCCGCCGGCGCCGCCGGCGAGCCCGGACGCGTTCGTCGCCCCCGCGGCGCCGCCGCCCGCGCCAGTCGCGCGTCTCACCGTCAGCGTCTTCTCGCCCATCTTCATCCCGTGCAAGCCCTGGCACGCGACGTCCGTCACCGCGTGGTCTTGGTACACGAAGAAGCCGTACCCCTTAGGGCCGTTCCATACAAAAACAGTTCTCCGGTCAGTTGAAAAGGGACGCGATCAAATGTTGAAACCGGACAATGGGTGAAAAACAAACTTTTGTATAGAACGCACCTTGCTGTTCCCCGTCTCTCGGTCCATCACGAGCATGAAGTGCTTCGTCGGTCCGAACGCCTCGACGAGCTCTTTCACCATGGGCTCGGTGAGGAAGTACGGCAAGCCGCCGACGAAGAGCCTGTTCGCGGTGTCCTCGGGGGAGAGATTGTTTTGGCCGCCGGCGGCGCCGCCGGCGCCGGCGCCGCCGGCGGCGCCGCCCGCGCCGGGGACGAGGCCGATGGCCGCGAGATCGAGGTCGGTCGACGGCGTCGACGGTCCCAGCGTCGCCGCGATCGCCGCGTTGTAATCGTTCGGTCGCCGCACGCGCAGCGACACGCCGTCGAACACGACGCCGTCCAGCGCGATCGCGTTCGACGTCTCCTCCACGGTTCGGAATTCGACGAAGGCGAATTTCTTCTCGTGGTTCATGTACACGTTGAGCACGGGCTCGACGCCGGCCGCGGCGGCGGTCTGCACGACGCCCCCGATCGCCGCGAGCGCGTTGGAAAAGAACGTCGCCGTGCTCGCCTCGTTCGCGGTCGCGGGGAGCCCGCCGACGTAGATGCGGCGCGCGTGTCGCGTCGCCTGCGTAGACGCCGGCGCGCCGGCGCTGAGGGTCGTTCCATCGTTCAAAGCGACGGCGGGGTGGAGTTGAAAGGCGTCAGTTGAAGAAGTTTAGGGAAAGGCGTCGAGGTGTGTCGGGTTCGAAACCAGCGAGGGGTACGTAGTGGGCGGAAAGAAACGACCGCCGCGCCGGGAGATAAAGTCCGTCCTCGAGGAACGGCGCGCGCCGCGCCGACGCGGGGACCGGCGTCGTGAATAATAACGGGACGGGGACGCGCCTCATCCCGCCCACGCCCCCCAACCCGCCGGCGCTCATCCCGCCGATCATCCCCGGGAGGATCCCCATCCCCGGGGGCAGCCCGATACCTCCCGCGCCGCTCATCATCGCCGCCGCTCCGCCGGGAGCGGCTCCCCCCGCCGCGCCCCGCAGCTGCTGCTCCGGCGCGACGCCGACGCCGCCGCCGGGGAGGGGCACGCCGAGCACGCCGGGGGGGGGCTGGTCGAAGCCGGTGGCGCGGCGGCGGCGACGCGGCGGCGGCGTGGCGGACCGCGACCGCGACCGCGAGCGGCTCGGCGAGCGCCTGCGAGGAGGAGGAGGAGGAGGCGGCGGCGGCGGCGGCGGCGGCGGCGGGGTGGGGGGTGTTGTTCAGGGCGGCTGACGACGGATCGACCGGGGGGTCGGATGGATCCGAGCGCGAATCGATTTTGGGTTCGTGGGTTGGCGAAAGTCCTTAAGGATCGGCGTTCACCGCGCGAACGCGGTCGTATGGGGACCAGTGTACGCGACGCGACGCGACGCGATTCGATTCGATCTCGATTCGATCTCGATTCCGGGATTCGAACGATCGGACGCGCACCGTCGTCTGCGGTCGTCTCTTCGGTCTCCGCCGCGATCGCGGCTTCGGCTGTCGCGGCGACGTCCCCTGCGCGAGGAGCGAGCGGGGAGAGGCGCGTCAGGCGTGGCGAGGCGGGAGGGAGGAACGAACGAATGAATCGGCGGCGTCCGCGGACGGCGCCGGGAGAGAAAGTCCTTAAGGATCGGCGTTCACAACGCGAACGCGGTCGTATGGGGACCAGTGTGAATGGGGCGGATCGAGCGCGCGGGCGCGGGGGGACCCGGGGACCCGATCCGTCCCTCGCGGGCGATCGCGACGCCGCGCGCGGATCGAGCGACGCACCGGTCGTATCTGTCGTCGTCGCGGCCGCGGGCGTCGCCCTCGGAGGGCCTCGCGCGGTCCGACATCGTCCTCCCCGTCGCGACGTGCCCGCTTCTGCGCGACCGCGAGCGAATCGATCGGTCCTTCTCCGCTGAGAGCTCTCGCGGAGAATTGTCGGTCGGTTTGAGTACGTAGGCGTGCGCGTCTTTCAAAAGAAGCAAAGTGCTTTCGGCAGTCGGGATTGAAACTGGCGGATTCCACGGTGAACGGGGCTCGAGTCTTTCGGGCTGACCCCGCGCTTAATACAACTTTTTCCGACTATTTGTCCACACGGGTACACGTATTAACGTGTGTAGATATTATTACACAAAAACTGAGCTCTAACCCATCCCGTATTAACGTACACGTACACCTTCACAACCCGAGCTCCTTCACGGTCGTCTTCGTCCGCCCCGGGATCTCCGCGAGCGACACGTTTTTGTAGTACCCACCGCTCGTACGTTCCGCGTTCGGGTACCAATTCAGGATCATCGTCCGCAAATCCGATTCGCTGAGGACATCCACGTCAGCATACTCCGCGTGCGCGCGGCGAAACGCGGAGGAAATCTCAGTGACGTGGCACCTCCCCGCGCGTCGCAGCCGCGCGTCCGCGAAGGCGCGAAAATCCTCGTACTGCGCCTCAAGCGTCCTCAACTCCTCGCGCGTGTACCGCGTCGGCGACCCGAGCTCGGCGACGAACGACAACATCGCGAATCCGATCCCCGCGGAGAGGCCCCAGTTCTCCTCGCCCGCGAACATGGTATCGAAACCGTACGTCACCGCGCATCCGCACGCGGCGAAAAAGACGACGATCGCGAGCCGCTCTGAGGGTCGTTCCATATGTTCATCGGGTCAGTTGAAAGGAGACGCGATCAAGTGTTGAAACCGAGCGATGGGTGGAAAACGTTTGGGTAGAACGCACCCGTCGCCGACGCCGACTCCCACGCGTCGACGTTCTCGCCGCCGGCGCTCTCGCTCTCGTTCTTCTCCGAGCGCGTCGCGGACGTATCGTTCGTCCTGTAGCGCGCGATCGGGCTCCGTCGAAGCAGCCAGTCGCTCGGCCGCTCCGTGTCCGTCCTGCCGAGAAACACGAGAAGAATCTGCAAAGGCGACTTGAAGAAGAGGCCGAAGGACCAAAGGCACGCGGCGACGACCGATCCGGGCGCGAGCGCGTCGATCCCGCCGCCGACGCCGCCGAGTCCGAGTCCGAGTCCGAGTCCGCCGTCGACGTCCCAGTCGTCCGCGCCGCCGCCGCCAAAGTACGCCGCGTCGTCGACGTGCGCGACCGCGAGAGCCACGATCGACGTGAGCGTCGTCGCGGAGAGCGCGAGCGCGGCCCACGTGGACGCCGCGTCGCCGAGCGCGCGCGACGCGAGGCGCGCGGGGCGGCGCGGGACGAGGTCGGGGCGCGCGTCGTCGTCGTCGTCGTCGCCGCGCGCGCGCGCGACGACGACGACGCGCGGCGGCGGCGCGCGAGGCGACGCTACGAGAGCGACGCGGTCGCGCGGGAGACGACGCGCGCGGCGCGACGACGACGACGACGACGACGACGACGACGACGACGCGAGCGACGCGACGCGCGCGACGACGGCGCGACGGCGCGGCGGGACCGCGCGCGCGCGCGGGGCGACGTCGGCGGCGCGGCGTCGTGACGCGCGCGCCGCCGCGCGGACGGGAGCGGCGCGACGCGCGGTCGCGCGCGCGGGCGCGGTCGTCGTCGCCATCGCGCGCGCGGAGGAGTCCGCGGAACACAGCGAGCGGAACCGACGGAGAGAGCGCGCCGCCCGATCGAAACAGGCTCGAAACTCTCCCGATCACGTCGGATTTTTTTTGTGCGCGAAAGGTCGCGCGGCACGTGCACGGAGACTTGAAATAACACACACACACGTGTGCGGGGCATGTCGAGGGTTTACACACACACACACACACACACACACATTCCGACTTGGACGTCTTCTTCCTTGATCGCCGCCATGGCTCGTCACGCGAACGCCGGCGTCGACGTCGTCGTCGAGCGGGACGACGTCGATCGGAACCCGCGCCCCGGCGCGGTCTCCGACGCGCGCGCGCAGCGATCGTACATTCGCAAGAAGTTTGACCTCTCTCAAAATCCCGGCCGCAAGCCCGGCATCCTCACGTCCGCGCTCGCGAACGCGCACTCGGAGAGACAGATGATCTTCTTCTTCCTCTTGCACTTCGTCGCGACGATGATCGTGTGGCAGCACCACATGTATTTCAAGTTCCGTCAGCGAGCGGCCGTCGTCCCCGAGGGCGCGAACCTCTACTGGTGGAAGCGCCTCGTCCCTCCGGTCGAGTTCGGCACGATGCACGCCATGCTGTTACAGCTGGCGCTCATACCGATGACGATGGCGCGGCACACGATCGCGACGTTGTCCGCGACGTCGCTCGCGCGATTCGTTCCGTTCCAGCACACGAATGCACATTCACCTCGGATACGTCATGGTGTTGTTCGTGTTCTTGAGCACCGTGCTCTTCTTCGTGTTTTTCGGTCAAGGGTGCGTGGACCAGCGAAGCGGCAAAGAGCCGCTCGTGAAGGGCAAAGAGTCGTTCTGCGACTCCATGAAATCGGAGATCATGCTCACGGGCTACGGCCTCTTCGCCGCGTTCGGAATCATGGGCGTGACGAGCTACTTGAGAGACAAGATGAAGTACGAGCTGTTCTACGCGGTGCGAGAGGCGACTCGACCGACCGTCCGTCGAGATTGCTTCCCATACGACCGCGTGGTGAACGCCGTTCCTTAAGGACTTTTCCCGTCGTCGCTCTTCACCCACGCCTCCCTATCGACAACCGTCCGTCGACCCGCGCGACATCCCGCGTTTTTTTTTCGGTTACTCACGCGCGGAGGATCGATTCGGACTCGTTCCGCCGCCGACACGCGAACTCCGTCGACCGACCCGACCCGACCCGACCGACGCGCGAGCGCGCACGCTTCGTTTCTCGTTCGTTTCGCGCGCGGCGCGGCGCGGCGCCCACATATCCGACGAGATGCGCTGAACACCCTGAACGCCCGCCGACGTCGACGTCGCCCGCCCCGCTCCCCCGCGCAGATTCATCACGTCTTCCTCGCGTTGTACGCCATCGCCGTCGCGCACACAATCGACAACATGGCGCGCCGAGGTCAGGACCGGTCGCAAAACTTTAAGTGGTTCGCGGGGACGTTGACGTGGTACATCGCGGATAGGGTGTTCATGTGGACGCAGATCAAGCGAATGAAGGTGGTGGAGTGGCGAGCGAAGAGCACCGTGAGCCTCGCGCGAGAGCACCCCGCGGGCGACGGCGCGGCGAGATCGAAATCGGCCGCCGCCGCCGATTCGAATTTCGACTTCGACGTCGTGTCGCACTGCATCGGGACGTCGCGCGAGGACGACGGCAAGATGATCCACCTTCGCGTGCGACGACCCCCGGAGTGGACGTTTCGCGCGGGCCAGTACGCGTACCTAAAGATACCGGAGATCGACCTCTCGTGGCACCCGTTTTCCATCGCGAGCGCGCCCAACGAAGACACGCTGGACTTTTACATCGAGGTGGCGCACAGGACGAAGGACTGCTGGACGGAGCGGCTATGGAACCTCGCGCACGCGGACCCGAAGTGCGAGCGGACGCGCGAGGGCGGGATCCTCGTGCAAGGCCCGTACGGCGCCGCGGCGAGGCACTTCTCCGAGTACGAAAAAGTCGTCGGCATCGGAGCCGGATTCGGCGTCGTGCCGATGATGAGCCTCATGAAGCATCACTACCTCGAGCTGTTCGCGATGGACCGCGCGCATCACGAGAGACGACTCGCGGCGCTCGCGAACAAGTGCAGAGAGCTGTACTACGCGACGGATCGCGCGCACGTCACGTTGTGGCGGATGTTTTCGCGGTGCCTCCCGAGCTTCACGCGGAACCCGCGCGGAGAAGAGGAACTCGAGAAGAGTTGGACCGCGGACGAGCTCACGGAGGGCGCGAAGCGGCACCTCAGGCGCGTTCTATCTTACACTGGTCCCCATACGACGACCGCGTTCGCGCGGCGCACGCCGTTCCTTGAGGACTTTTCCCGGCCGGCGTGACTCTCCGCCCGTCCCTCGCTTTCGATCCCGACACACTGCGACGCCTTTCAACTCCATCCCTGACGCCATTCAACTCCATCCCTGACGCCATTCAACTCCGACTGACGCCTTTGAACTTCACCCTGACGTCCGTCGCTTCGCACGGAACGACCCTCAGACGATTCCAACTTCGCTACCGCGCGAAACGCCTCGACGAGGCCAGGGCGACGGGCGAGATGAACGCGACCGCGAGACAAGTGATCCGTTCCGAAGAGCGCGCGACGCGTCACAACTCGCGCGCGGTGGCGTATCTGATCCCGCCTCTGCTCGATTTCACCGCCGCGCTGCTCGCGGTGTCGTGGAGCGAGTTGGACAGGAACCGCGCGGCGATCACGCCGGCGATGTCCACCGTCTTGATGACCCTGACCGCGGTGTGCATCTCTCTCCACGCGCTGTACTGGTTCGCGAACGTCTCGTATCGATCGAAGTGGTTCTACGCGGACGTGATCGTGATCGCCGTCGGATGGTTCGTCTGGAGCGAGTGGCGTCGACTAGACGCGTTCGGGCGTTTCGACGACATGAACCGAAACGCGTTCGTCGCGCTCTCCGTGTATCGCTTCCTCAGGCTCTGGGTGCACGGCGCGCTCTTCACGGCGGATCCCGCGACGAGGGACTTGCGCACGCGCGCCATTCGAGCGATCGGAGGATCGAGCGCGGTCCTTCCCTCTCGGCTGGAGACGGTTTTCGTGACGCGCAGGCGCGTTCCGAGCGCACGTTTTTCACCCGCCGCGCTGCTCGCTTTCAACATTACATTCGATCGCGTGGGTCCCTCCCTTTCGACTGACCGACGAACGAACTTTCTTCGCGACCGACGCGCACTTCACCGCAGCGCTCCCTTCGCGATGATGGTGTGGGACGACCTCGAAAAGTGGTGGTTCACGCTCGAGCGGAAGATAGGCGCGAAGTCCGCGGAAAAGTTCGCCGGCGTCCGCGTGTTTTGCACGGACCGCGACCCCAAGGCGGTGAAACTCCTCGTGGACTACGCCGCCGGCACGAGACTCGCGGAGACGGGAGCGCTCGTCACCGAGAGACCTCACTTTGAAAAGCTCTTCGTGGACTCCGCGACGCGCGGCGACGATCGCGCGGCGCTCGTCGGCCTCGGGGCGGTGGCCACGCGAACGCTCGTGACGTATTGCGGCGGCCGCGACTTGGGGAAGAAGATCGACCGCGGCCGCATCAAGGTGTTGAAAAGCGTCGACCCGGACGAGGATCACGCGATCGGCGTTCGCGTGCACTCCGACCTCCAGGTGATCAATTGAACGGCGAGCGAGGGGAAGAGACGAACCGAACGGGTAAAAACCTACGGGGAAAAACATTTGGAACGGCGAGGGAAAGAGACGACGGGAAAGAAAAATGCTTAAAAAAGAAAAACATTTGGAACGGCGAGGGAAAGAGACGACGGGAAAGAAAAATGCTTAAAAAAGAAAAACATTTGGAACGGCGAGGGAAAGAGACGACGGGAAAGAAAAATGCTCGGCCGCGAGGCGGAACGGACGGGGTGTCTGCGACGACCTCCTCCCGACGGAGGTAAGTCGTCGACGCGACGCCCCAGAAGAAGCCGCCCGGGGCTCTGACGAGCTTCCTATATATTTTGCAAAGTTATGGTTGTGTATTGAGGGTGAATATTGTGAATATTTCCATTGTTAATTTATAAGATAAAAAGGTACAACATCGCGCGCATCCAAATTCTACACCGTGTATGGGTCGTGAGACGTGCGTTGGGCTACACGCACGTCAGCGAGAGGATGCGAGGCGAAGCGAACACCCCCGGAGCAGGAGCACTCGTCTTCACTCAACCGCGTTAAGGGGTGTTCGCGTTGTACAGCGAGAGCTAGATAAACTGACTTACAGTCAGTCACTACGCAACCTTTCTCAAAAAAAAAATTTACAGGTAAAAGATAATTACGAGAACACGTGTAAAAGCACCCGATCAGGGCAGTCCGACTTCCGAGAAGACGCGTCGTTCGCGCTCTCTCTGACTCAAAGCGCGCGCGCGCCGGTCGTCGTCGTCGTCGCCGCGTCGTCAGCCGAAGACGGCGAAAAATTTGGCGTAGCGTCCGCGGCCCGTCTCGTGATGCCACACGTGCTCTCTGCTCCCAATGAAAACGTTTCCGGGGATCAAGTTGCAGAGATCCCACGGCAAGTCGTACCCGGAGTGAATCGCGCAGAGCAGCGCGACGATCACGACGTTGTACACCGCGCGCGAGAGCGGGTGCGCGCGCGTGATGTTCACCGCGATGACGGAACACGCCACGTCGACGACTTCCTCCGCCGCGCTCAGCCGAAAGACGTCGCGCGCGCGGACGTCGGCGTTGGCGTGGTGCTTCGCGTGCGTCGGGGTCGGCGGGGTCGAGGCGGGGCGGAGTCGAAAGGCGTCAGGGGTGGAGTCGAAAGGCGTCGAGGTGTGTCGGGATCGAAACCAAACCGTAAAGTCCTCGAGGATCGGCGCGCACCGCGCGAACGGGGCCGTGTGGGGACCAGTGTGCGTGAGGGTGAATATATATACTTCGTACCTTGGCGTGCACGCGTCGAAACACCGCCGGGTGTCGATGCATCGCGCGGTGAGTCGCGGAGAAGAGCGCGTCGTACACCGCTAGGGACGCGACGACGTCGAGCGCGAGCCGACACGTCGAGGGGGGCGCCACCGGCAGCGCGCGGCGCGGATAGAGCCAGTCGAAGACCAGGAGCGGGACGAGATAGAGCGCGAACTCCTGGAACCCGTCGCGCGTGCGAAAGTCGGGGGTCCAGATCTCCCTCGAGCGCGCTTCGTGCGTCTCGCCGCCCTCGCCTTCGCCTTCGCCTTCGCGGTCGCCTTCGCGGCGCGTCTTCGTCTTCCGCGCGCGGTCGCGGTCGCGGTCGCGCTCGCGGCGCGCCGCGACGGGAATCGGCTGCAGTCGATACGCGCGGAGCGGGCACGACGCGCATTCGTCGAGCGCCCAATACGTCAGCAGACAGAGCGTGAACGTCGTCAACACGAGCGCGGGCTCGAAGGAGTCCCATCGCACGAACGCGGTGTCTCTCGCGCGCGACCAGAAGGACGCGATGGCGGCGTCGACTTTTTCGAGGCGCGCGAACGTCGCTGCGGGAGGAGGGCGGAGGCGGAGGCGGAGGATGATGAGGATGATGAGGAGGATGGGGGGGGAGGCGGCGCGAGGCGCGAGCGAATGAACGACTGATGAAAAGAATGTCAGCGACGACGCGAAATCGCGAACGCGGGGGGCGCGCACCGACGAGAACGGCGCCCGCGACCGCGCGGCACGCGCGCACGCTCCGCTGAAACCCTGGAGGGTGGGGCGCGAGCGTCGACATCGCGCGGACCGTGGGCCGCGCGGAAGTGGTACTTCCGGCGGGTGAACACCGACGCGGCACTTTTGGCCGAGTATCGCGTACGGAAAGTGCGAAAGTACAGTTAATAAGGTCACGCTCCGCTAATTAAATTTCCCGTGCCAAAAGTACGAAATTGAGACCGAATACGCATACAAATTGCAAAAACGTACGAAAGTACTTTTGTACTTAAAGTACTTTCGTACGCGCCTAGTGCAAAAACGTACTTTCGTACGCGCCTACGCGCCGTCGCTGCGCGGATTGATTTGAATCTTCGTCACGATGTTGTCTATCAAGTTGATGATGCCCTCACAAAGTTTCGTGATTTAATGAGGTCGGAAAAATTTGTTTTCCGACCCCTAAGGAGCCTTTTTTAAATAAGTCGCTGAGGGGTCCGAAAACCGTTTTCTCGGCCTCCTAAAATCGTGAAACTTTGAGAAAGACATCGGCTGCGTGCTGAACAACATCGTGACGAAGTCTCAAATCGATTATCGCCGCGACGGCGCGTGTGCTCGCGCAAAGGTACGATTTTTGCGATTTGGACGAGAATTGGGTTTCAATTTCGTACTTTTGGCACGGGAAATTTAATTAGCGGAGCGTGACCTTAAGTACAGTCAACAATTAAGGTCACGCTCCGCTAATTAAATTTCCCGTGCCAAAAGTACGAAATTGAAACCGAATACGCATACAAATTGCAAAAACGTACGAAAGTACTTTACGAAAGTACTTTCGTACTTTCGTACGAAAGTACTTCCGCCGCGTCTAGCTCCTCGTTCG